GGTTTGCAAGGTTTTCATCTCCATCGACTACTACAACATGTTCACCAGTATCTTCACTCTCACCATGATGAGTGTGGATCGCTACGTGGCTGTGTGCCACCCTGTCAAAGCCCTGGACTTCCGCACTCCGATCAAAGCCAAGATGATCAATGTGTGCATCTGGATCCTGTCCTCAGCCGCAGGCATACCTGCATTTGTTCTGGGCGGCACGCAGACAAAGAGTGGTGAGGAAGTGCTTTCACCATCCCCAAATAAAGTTGACAAGTTTCAGCCAATTTTGTTAAGTATGGGAGACATAAAGCATGTGCTGATAACATTTTAAGAGCAGAACTATACAGTAGCCTATCAAGTGCATCTGTCAGTGCAGAGTTTTCCATTAGCCACACATGATGCATCATCCTTCCTGAATATAAATGAAGAAAAAGACGAGTTTAGAGAAAAAGATTCCCTTCTGAGTGCAGATTAGTTGTTCCATAACAGCTTGCTAAATTGATAGCAGAAAGACACAGAGTGGAATTTTATTAATGATGAAGCGCAGTTGTACTTCATCACTTAACTCTCATCTTCTGCCTCCCTCTCTCTTTTGCTCCTGCAGAAATAACTGAGTGTGCCTTGCAGTTCCCAGAGCCATACGTGTACTGGGACACAGTGATGAAGATATGTGTGTTTGTCTTTGCCTTTGTCGTGCCGGTGCTCATCATCACCGTGTGCTACTCCCTCATGGTCCTGAGGCTGAAGAGCGTCCGAATGTTGTCCGGCTCCCGGGAAAAAGACCGCAACCTGCGGCGGATCACGCGGCTGGTGGTGGTCGTGGTGGCTGTGTTTGTGGTCTGCTGGACACCCATTCACATTTTCATCCTGGTCAAGGCGCTTGTGAGTGTGCCCGAAACCACCGCCATCATGGCCGCCTACTTCTTCTGCGTGGCTCTGGGCTACACAAACAGTAGCCTCAACCCCGTCCTCTACGCCTTTCTGGATGAGAACTTCAAACGCTGCTTTAAAGACTTTTGCCTCTCGGCTAAACTGAAGGGGGACAAGGTGTCGGGGAGCAAGAAGGCCCCCAGCTCTGAGCGAGAGGCTGCTGTTCCCCTGGAGGACCCAGATGGGACTAGAAAGCCATCATGACTAGCAGTGGAACTGTCTTCAATTTCCCACACTGGAAAAGAAGACTCCCATGACCTGGGGTTAACTAATGTCACATCAGCAATGTTTTGACTCTATTACAGAAGCTGATTTATTTTCATTATCACCTGGGGTTTAACCAGTGCCAAAACTGATATGATTTCATCTCAGCAATCAAATTAAAGTTACACATATTAATTGTATTCCATCTTTTCCATAAATCCACATAAAATCAAAAACACCAAGCTCTTCCACATGACAATAACTTTGCTGTGACTTTTCTTTTATTCATTTTTGCCCCTCATGGCAGATTGTGTGTTGATTATGTGAACAGGTTGGTGGATGTGAGCTTGGTTTAAGTAGTAAAAAATACCAAATGTGATTAAAGTTAGTCTTTAACATCTACGTCTATTTCCATTGACTGTCCAGCTAGAAAGTATATTATTGAAAGGAGACCTATTATACTGCTTTTCCAGTCCCATATTGTAGTTCTGTGACTCCTGTATGGAAGCTTTGCTTGATTCAAAGTTCAAAAAAATTATTTTCCATCTTATCCGAGCCCTTCATGTAGGCCTTCAGTTCAGCCTCCATCTGAAACAAGCTGTATATGTTCCTGTCTCTTTAAGCCCCCCCCCTCAAAGACCACTGTCTTCTGATTGGCCGAGACCTGAAGCATGTTACCAGACTGTTGTTGCCTCTGAGTGGTACTAGACTGAGCATAGCTGTGCGGAGCAAATGACCATATATGGAACACCGGCTCCATCTGGCTCATATGTGGTAGGACTGAGCCCTTGGTAGAAAAGCAGTTCAAAACGGGCATGTTCAGAACAGAAGGAAACCTGAGGTTTTTGCTCACAGGGATTTCTTTTAAATAGTTTTACCTCATTATTTGAAGCTTTGGCCATGTTTAACATGAACATCCAACATTGTAACATTGTAGATAAGTCATAAAATATGGGAAAGGATAATAACTGCTCATTAAATACTAAATAATTCCAAATAAGTATTCCTATAAGTGGGAAATTACCAAACCAAGTGGCACGTCCCAAACAAAATTGGGTAAGTGGTAATGAAGTAATTTCTCTCTTTTAATAGAAAATTTGGAAAGAGACCGATGAAAATGATTGGTTCCTGTCAGGTTTCATACAGTATTCTTGTTGCATCAGTGTTTTATGCTGATTTAAGTATACTTTGTTTATGCCTTTCTCAAATTCAATTTATTCCTGTCATTTCCTCCCATAATTTTTCTATTGCCAAATGTGCCTTTAACACTAACAGTCCAGGATAACACATGTTTGTACGAGTGGAAGATAATTAAAAAAAGGTAGTGACTACTGAATGGGGTCAAACAGCACTTCATGCATACAGTTTTTATACAGTTCAACATGAGTGGTTAGTTGCATGAATCACTGACAGCAGATATGTGCCAAAATCCCTTTTCACCTTTTGTGAGGAGTCTGAATTGTGCTTATTGACCACAAGGTGAGAGAAGTGACTCATAATGGACTGTGAAGTCACTGGGAGGTAAACAAACAAACAAACAAAAAGGCATCAAAGCATGAGAATCTTTAAAGGGAAAATCCTGGACTTGAATGTACATTTAAAATTTGACAGAGGGCTCTCTATCAGCTTTGACTCTGGAGTTGTTTCCAGTTTGATAAGTTGCTCATGATGGTGTATAACGCAACCACGTGTGCTGTGTATGGCTTTTACCATGATACATGTAGTCCTATTGAAAGACTTGTGCTTTTGTTGTAGAGCAATCAGTGCAATCTCAAAACACCTGATGTTTTGCATATGATTAATTACAGTATATTGTGTCAGCTGTATGATAGTATGATTAAAAAAACATTTTTGTATAGATAAAAAACATTACAACATCCTGAAACATTACTGAAATATACTTTGTTTTGTAGCATGTCAATGATCATTGCTATGATAGTATGATGCAACACGGGCAGCCTACATGCTTGATGGACTGTGCTGTTTTTTGAATGTACTGCAAATAGACTCTGTATTATATAAACATATGCTTACCCATGGTATAAACCCATCTCATTAGAGCAGAATTTCAGCTAATGTGTAAGTAATTTAGTTTAACACTTATGTCCCTAAACCAGAGCTTTGTGGGTTTGGGGGAAACATTTTTTTAATGGTTGACAAATTTCAAGCCACAACATGTATACTGGCATAAAAACAGAACAGAGGTTCTGTTGCTTGACACAAATAAGAGACGTTATTCTAAGAAACAACACTGTGACCAAGACATCACTGCTTCTTCTTTTCAATCTCTGTGCTTACTGTTTAAATCTGCTGCTTCTGTAGGCTATATTGGCTTTGACTGACTGTCAACTGTCAACCCAACAGCAGTATTGATCGAAACATCCTGTGTGTGAAGTGCTTAACATTAAAGAAAGTTTAACAAATCCACCTTGGTTCTCTTCAAGCTCTTGTTGTTGTTTTTAGTTTTGTAAGCAGTGAGTGATAGATGCTGCCAGAAATTTCTTACTGTCTTTGATCTTATTTCAGAAGAGAACGCGACCCCCTCACATCGGCACATTTGAATCACAGTTTAATATAAGTTTAGTTTATAGATAAGTTTCTGCACAGAGGTGAGTTTTAGGCCCCATCCACACTACTGCGTTTTGCTACGTTGCACCTCCAGAATACAATGGTGAAAACGAAGACCTAAGACGGAGAAGTTTGGAACCGCTGCCGACCTCATTTTGCGTTTCAAAACTCCGGAGGGCGTTTTAGTGAAGACGGCCCAAAACCGAGGACTTTAGAAACGATGACACAGCCGCTCACGCTCGGCTCTGTGATTGGGTCTTATAGCCTAAGTCATGCAAAGCAGAAACACGATGCTACTGACCGGGCTTTTGACATGGTATTTTTATTAAAATATTCTGTACCGTGCAAATAACAATTATCTGCCACACTTGCACTGTGCATGTCGGTGTTTACTTTGCAACGACTCTGTTTTGCGCCGCCACACTCCAGTGTTACATTCAGTTAACAGTCCCAGCTGGTGCATGCAACGAAACCTGCTCTGATTCTTCCTCTGTATTTATTTATTATTTCGCCAAATCTTCTGTAACTACGGAAGAGACCATCTGCTTCATGTTTACACTGGCCTGCATGCCCAGTGTACCTGAATGGCCAATAGATGTGTGTTTTCAGTCGTTTTAATATAGACGGAGATCAACTCCAAAATACAGCTAAAACGCTGATGTGGACCGAGATCGTATTCGTTTCAATAGTAATTTTGTAAACTAAAACGGAGTAGTGTGTATGGGGCCTTAGTTGGAGGTTGTAAGTCCTCTGCAGGTTATTTTGTGTTTTACTGTAAACCCGCAGCTCCCTCCAGAGGAAGGAAAATGTAACTATTACAATCAACAGTCTGTGGTCTGATTTAAAAAATAAATCCCAGAATGATTGATAGTAGCATGCACATAACTGGACATATGCAGAAGGTTCACTGCAGCATTAGCAATCTATTTATTGGCTGAGAATTGATTGCTAACACAAAATATTTTAGTTTTATTTATGCCCATTACAACAGCTCTTTCTGTTGCAGTTAGAAGCTGCTTTCTCCTTTGCTAAGAGGTCCATATAATCTTTGGATATGGATATATATATATATATATGTAATCTGTGCTATATTGTTGCTTTCTGTTTACATAAAATAATATAAAAATTAGGTAAGAGGCACATATTCGAGCACAACAGCAGATATAGAAAAGAAGAAGCAATGAAAAGATACAAACAAAAACATAATTTGTACAAACACAAACAAACACAAACATAATTGTTAGCACTGTGGAGGGCGCGGCTGCGTGCGTAATAATCACGTGGCTCCCCTGACGTCATCTCAAAGTCTCTTCCGGGTGTTTTCCTTCAGCTGGACGGCGGACGGTGACAGTGAACTACCGCAGCTTTCTCTACGTGTTTAAGCCTTAATTTTTGCCAAAATGAACCGTATATTTGGCAGCGGGAAACCCAAAGCGCCACCGCCGAACCTCACTGACTGCATAGGAACCGTGAGTTTGTTCCTGAAACAACTTTTTGAACGCTGTGTTGAACAAAGTAAACAAAGATGGATCCTTCTCGGCTCGGGTTAAGCTAACTGTTAGCTAACTTTTATGAGCAGAAAACAGGCCAGCGTTTGCCATATTTTACTGCCATGTCGTCTAAATAAACGAGCCTACTAGTTAAGAGTTAATTAATAATTGGTGACATTATTGATAGCAGGCAGACTTATCACATTAGGGCTTTTATTTTTCTCCTAACACAGTGTATTGATGGTAGCAGCCGTTGGTATTTAAACAAAACAGTCTGTTCAGATAATGAATCTATTAGATCATTTTGGGCAGGAATTTGAGCTATTAAACTGGCAAACAACAGAAACCTTGTCAGTCTGTCAGTGAAATGACTGACATCAACCGGTTAGACAGGTTATATGTCTAGGCAGAGCTATGATCAGCTAACTGGGGTAGGGGAAGACTCACATGATATGGCAGGTTTAATGGTACTAAGTAGCCTCAAAGAAGAGGAGAAGCCTTCTGTGCAGTCCAGCAGTTGGTTTGAATTTATTTTGAAAGATCCATACTAAGATTATCCTACTGTTATTGATCAGTTGTCATACAAATGTTGTCATACAAATGTCCTGTTCTGCTTATTGCTTCAAGGTTGATTCTCGGACAGAGTCTGTTGACAAGAAGATCGCCAGACTAGATGCTGAACTTGTGAAATACAAGGATCAGATGAAAAAGATGAGAGATGGGCCCTCAAAGGTGAGATTTATTGTCCAATCTTGCTGTAAAACAAGGACTTTGGTTATTCTCTTGAAATCCTTAATCATGCGCTAGCTGTGGGACCAAAAGTCTATTGAATTCATATATATAAATATAAAGTGAGCATTTACAAATCTCTTTTTATTATAACACACAAAATGTTGGTGTTTTTAAGTGGACTGTTGTTAAAAAGAAGATTGTAAGAAGCAAGTTTGTGAGTGCCTGTACTTGTATACTGTCAAACAGATTATTATTATAATATGGCCTCCTTCAGTACTGATACCAAAATTATACTTTTCCAATAACTTACTGCGAGAAATGTAAAAATATTTTCTACAAACCTTTTTTTTTTTTAATCCTAGTATACAAAATAAGTCAGACTTCTCAAAAGTTAAATGCAGCTGCACAAGCACTTTGCTGTAACAAAGTGGAGTCTAAAATTGGGAACAATCTGATCAAAGTAAACGAAACTGTGAATCTTGACAGTTTCTGAAATGTTTCGGTTGGTACTTAAACAGTATTGTTCAGTATCTGCCTTATTCATCACATACGTGTGTCCAGTTCATGTTGGTCATCAGTTGGTGTCATTTTTTTCATTTACCAGAACATGGTCAAGCAAAAGGCGATGAGAGTTCTGAAGCAGAAGAGAATGTAAGTCATTTTTTTTCCCAAAGCGAGTGTGTTTATATTATTAAACATGTCAAATTAACTTGATAAGCTTCAAGTGTTTTCCCTTTCCCTATCGATCACAGCTACTCTCTGTCAACTGCTGTGAAAGTCTAACCGTATGTCATCATTATGTTTTCCAGGTATGAGGGCCAGAGAGATAACCTCATGCAGCAGTCGTTCAACATGGAACAAGCAAACTACACAATCCAGACCCTTAAAGACACTAAAACCACAGTAAGAGATTAACTTATCTACCTATGATTAGTGATAACACAATAGCTGAAGACGATGTGGCTTTCTGCTGACTTTTGCCTCTTCTTTTTTTTTAGGTTGATGCCATGAAGACCGGCCTTAAAGAAATGAAGAAAGCATACAAGAATGTGAAAATTGATAAGATTGAGGTACTGGTACTGGTACTATATTGACTACATATTTACTCCAATAGGAGGTCCATAGTAGCTGTCAGCAGATGAGATGCCATCATTGTAAATAATTATGTATTTATTTAAAGGTAATGCACCCTTTATTCTCCTATCCCACTATTCACACAGAAATAGTATTGAAGTGTTGAGGGTCACCACACATGGTTCAAAGCTCAGAACCACAACATTTTATTGGCAATTAAGTCACTGGTGTAGATAAAACAATGTTTTAGATGTGAGCTTGCAATAATGTGTTGGACTTTCATTAACCTTTTGTTCATCATTCAGCAAAATTTAAGTCTTACAGAGGTGATGGATGAATTATAAAACATTTGAACTCCTTCAGGATATTCAAGATCAACTGGAGGATATGATGGAGGACGCCAATGAAATCCAGGAGGCGATGGGCAGAAGCTATGGCACGCCTGACATCGATGAGGAGGACTTGGAAGCAGGTCAGTAAAATGCTTACAACCAGGATTTTAGTGTATCACTGAGGGGCATAAAGAGCAACCACAGCATGCAGCTTACGAATAGGATGTACTAGAGCTGGGCTACAAAACAATAATGATAATTATTGCAATATAATTTTCCTCAATGACAATATAATAAATGTTAAATATATCGTCAATAAATATTTGGTTTAATTCATTTGAATCACAGACAAATTAGCACTTAATCTTTCTATTAAAATGTTTATTTTGTTGACAAGGGACTGGAAAAATATTTACTAATCATTTGTTGAAAAAAGATTTTATCGTAATAGTTTTGAATATTCTACCTCAGATTTGTTGAGTGATCTGCTGTTTGGCATCAAGTGTTTGTCATCAAATGTTATTCACATTCTGACCATAAAGAAAAGTTTAACCATATAATTAACCATCTGGTTCCTTCGATTTTCATTCAGAAACAAAAATCAGGCTTTAAATTTGAAAGAAATAGCGATTTGACTTATATATCGTGACAATTATAGATATTGAATTGTATGAAATTATTTTATCGTGCTAACATTAGCCTAGCCCTAGGATGTACCATATATGGTTATATCATCCTCCAAAGTAAATCTTAGTCACTCTGTATGTCATGTTCTCCCTCCTGGGGTGAGTGTTGTATGTTGTTGTCATCAAGGCCATTTGATTATTACTCACGCAGCCACACCCTCCAAGGTGCTCTGCTGTTTTGTATTACACACAAGTGCTTCTAGTGACTGTCACCTGAAACTGTTGGTGTGTTCACAGAGTTGGACGCTTTGGGAGACGAGCTCCTAATGGACGACGACAGCTCCTACCTGGATGAAGCTTCTACAGCTCCTTCCATCCCACAGGGCCTGCCCGGAGAAAAGTCAACCAGCAGGGTACTTCAGTTTTAGCAATTTTCAGTTTTGTATTGAGTTTTCTCAATATCTTACAGAGCTTTCATTAAGTGGCATGCTTCCTTTTGTGTTTCAGGATGGTGTTCTGGTGGACGAGTTTGGCCTTCCTCAGATTCCTGCTACATGAAGGAGCAACACTCGTGCTAGTTTTACATGTTTTGTAGAATTTTTTGTATTTATCTAACTGACACTCCCAGCCTTTGAGTGCAGCATTGAAATTCTAAGCTTCTTCTATCCAATGAATGATGGAAACTTTAGCTTAAAAGCAGGCATCTTTAATTAAAGCTGATTATTATTCTATGAATGAGCTCATGTCATATGTATCTGAGGTGACTATTGGAATTGGGATTCTCTTAACTTGTACAGTTTCTGCAGCATTGAGTTGCCAAGAACAAAATAAATTATATTTTTCCAATGATCCTTAACTTCTTGTGGTACCATTGATGTCATTTAAAAGTTGGTATTTATACAAAAGTCACTTTATTGTCAAGTTAAACAGGTGAAAGTGCATAATCAATAACTTAAACACACTCATTTTATCATCACCAGCTCAGCCTATAAGTATGAGGGAAGATTTTCTGGTGCAGATACTCTACCACGCTGGTCTTGTGTTGTAGTTTTTCAAATTCATAGTAAGGAATCTAGGAAACAAAAAACCCTTATTCAGTCATTTCATAAAGATTAAACATATAGGAATCTATAGAATACAAACATCTAACATTAGGGCAGATGTATATCTGGCAGAAAAGGCCCAAAGAATATACATTGCTGATTATGTAAAGCATAAAATTGAGGGTGAGGGTCTAACCTGAACAACTTCATATCCCAGAAGCCTCAGATGTCGCTGCTTGATGGCTTCTTTTCCAAGTAGCTGCCTCTTGCTTGTAGTGAATCTCGTCTGTCCATCAATACAAAGCGCAATCCTGCAACAAACATCAGACGACCCAGTGTGTTTAAACCTGTTATTAAAATCACTCTGTTTGACCATCCAGTAGTGTTGTAATCAAGACCAGAGTTTATCAATACTGAGACAAGAGCAAGACCGAGGGAGGGCGAGACCGAGTCAAGACCAAGACCAGTTCCCCACATTACATGACACACAATAAGATGTGGAACAAGATCATAGCTACTTGTCAAACTGATCTGAAAGATCCACATTCCCATTAAAACACCCACATACAAACACTAAGAGCTGAAATCAACTTAACCATCTTTATTCAACACTCCATGCTGACCATTGCGGGGACAGTCGTTAACAACAAATTTTTAATTATTGATTGCATTTAAAGCAGTACGTTTTATAGCCAAACAAAGTTGGGTTGTTAACAAATAACACAGACAATGCACAAGTAATTTATTGATATTTCCAAAGTTATGGACTTGAAATAAAATCCAGAGACCTCAATGTTCGAGACCGAGACAAGACAGAGTACAAATGCGGTCGAGTCCGAGACGAGACCATCAAAAGTGGTCTTAAGACCAGTCTCGAGACCAAGACCGTTCTCGAGTACTACAACACTACCATCCAGCTCGCAAAGATGAACCCTACCTTTAGTGCATCAAAAATCTCAAGTGTAGCGACCTTGTATGACACATAAAACCACTTACCTTTTGTATACATCATCAATTTGACTGGCAGGCAGTACGTATCCCTCCTCATCAAGTTTGATCTCCACATCTACAAGAACAAAAACGAACATTAAGCCCTTGACAGGTAGACTCAAGAAAACATTTAGGAGATAACCAGCTGTTAATGTGTGTGCGTTACCGAGTGTGTAGCAGTACGGAGTCAGAACTTTGGATCCGAAGTATGAACGAGCCCCGAGCAAATCCACCAATCCAGTTTTCACAGTGTTGTACAGATGTGCGTCCACCGGCGTCTCCAGAGAGCGTCCGGACATGAGGAACGACTTGACACGGTACTTTGGAAGTAGCCTGGGACCCTGGAAGAGTTGACAGAAGGTGTGTGAAGGAACAAACTAATTCGCAGTTCACACTTAACATTATAAATTTGGCTGTTGTTACATTCCAACAAAATCCATCCAACAACCTGGAAGATAAGCAAATCTGTACAATGTGTCAGAAAATATGGTCTATTTTGTTTTCTATTTTCCATGGAACCCTGTAATCTATTGTTTCAGATAAAAAACTGGAGAGAAAAAAACGTAGCAGGATAAACATTTGTTTTTTTATTCTGCTATTCAATGCAAAATGTATTTGAAATTGTGAACACGTGTTAACTGCATGTTAAGATTAATGTCTATATTTTAGTAAAATATCTTAGTCTACAGTCTGTATTGGAAGTGTAGAAAGTGACTAGGACAGCCTGTCCAGTGGCCTGTACTACAAAGGGAGTTCAGCCTACTCAAGAGTTAACTCGGGGTTATCAGCCAAACTCAGGATTGACAAACTCTGACCGCCTACACTGGAGTTAAACGGTGACGATGGTGGATAAGATGTTGGTTAGTCGAGTCCATGTTAACCTGGTGTTAACTTAAATGGAGTTGGTGCATGTTCGCATAAAAAGCGGTGTGTTTGGCAGAGTTATTCGGAACGGCACATGCTCCATATTACTCCAAAGGAAAGCACGTTGGTAGTGTCAGGAAATTATGAATGTAGACAAGTTAACGGCTAAATCTAATATGGTGGCGGACGACAAACCCAGGGAGGCTTGTTGGAGTAACTTTGTAGCCTAATTATCTTCCCAGTGTTCTTATTGTAGTTCAAATCTCTATTATGTATTTAATGGACTCTTCTTTTATGTGTAATATGATTAAGATGTAAAGGTAAAACTGCACATAAGGTCCACTGTAATAGAAAAAAAGGAGCCAGCGGAGAGGGGTAATAATCCGAGAGAAAACTTAATTTCCAACTTAACTTGCAAGTAAAAAACTTGAATATTCTCTGACATGATAGTCACACATTTATGAGAGAAACATTACTTTGCAAGGCTGCAACATCACACACTACATGGCAGACGTGTGTGTGTGATGTTGCAGCCTTGCATGCATTGGAAAGTTATATTAAACTTTGCAATCGGATTTAGCAGTGACAAAATAGCCTACTCCTGAGTTTAGCCCGCAATCACTATCATGCACCTTAGAGACTTTCCCTTGGATAGGGCGTATTCAGAAGAAAACACCAGAGTGATTTTCGATTGTTTATGACATTAATTTCCGATTTTTCTTCTTGTAAACTTCACATAGGATTTTTTTTGCTCGGTTATTAGTCTAACCCTCAACCTGGCTCCCTATTTTTTGGACACGTAAAATAGTCTATCTAAATGTGTGAAAACACATCTAAACATATTTTATTAAGTGGTGTGTATTAATATCCTACTTCTCATCATTAACACTGAGTACAGATGTGGTGTGTAGTCCACGTGCAGGGTAACCTCGAGTTAACCACGAACAAAACCTGCTCGGAGCAGTTCAGAGATGCGGTGTAAATTGCCATGCCAACAGACCTCGGGTAACTTCTATCCATCCACCTTTCATAGTACAGATTAACCGGGAAGTTACACCCGACGTCACAAAGTTACTCCTGAAGTTACCTGCATAAACCAGTTACCCCGCTTAGTAGTACAGGCCACTGGTCTCATCACGCATAGCTGGAATGCACTGAACCTTGCATACTGATGACATGTTAAGTAAGAGGGTGTGTATTCAGGTTTTCTGACTGAGCATTACTCGTTTGTCATTCTGGCCTCATCTTTAACCGCTGATATATTTTACCTTATAGAAAGGACACTCCAACTTCAAAGTCATGTAGAGCTGGGTCAGCTGTGCCAGGAGGATCCGGTCGATTCCTGTTCCCTGCTCTGAAAAACAGTCAATTTTGTTTGTTAGTTTATTCAATTGTATCTATCTAGTGAATGTTTATATGTATGTATGTATGTATGTATGTATGTATATGAACCAATATCACAAATCTGCCTCAGAAAGTTACAATCTGTTCAGTTTATGTCAATTCAAATTAGGAATAATTCCCTAAAATGCCCATTTAACTACGAAAAAAAGATGCCACATGTACAGAATAGATTGTAGAAGGATAAACACAACACCATACCTGCTACAATATCGGACACTTTTAATCGTGAAAAGCTTGTACACATCACAGGTGTCTGACAGAATGTGTTACCTTGCAGCTGCTGGAGGAAGTAACTGCTGAAAACTTTGGAGACAAAGTTAACGGGGAACCTTTCCACCAGGGTGCAGGAGTGGAGCAGGTTGAGCAGCGTTCGAGGCTGGAAGTGTGAGAAGCGTGTGTGCAGGATGTTCTCAACTTTCCTGAATACATCGCCAGCGTTGGGAGGAAGGTAGCCGACCTTTCCGAGAGCCATGATGTGCCTGGCCACCTGGCTGGTGCTGTAGTCGTCTGCTCGGTACACAAAGCTCTCCGCAACGGCATCAAACACAGTCGTAGACAGGATGTTCCTCCGGCCAAAGAACTGAATGACCTTGGTAACTGTCTCTGGGTGGGAGGTGAAGGTCATTGTGGGCACGTACCTCTCCATCGCCTCCACAAAGTAATGATCGCTGTGACCAAAGTGCATCAGAGCGCCAAGCACAACGGTGAGCTCCTCATCAGTGAAGTGAGGTACGTGTCGTACGGCCTGCTTGCACAGATTGATCACAAGAGGCATGGCCTGCGTCTGATTCAGGGCCACGAGAGCACTAAGCAGCCTGCTGACAGCAGCAGGGTCCATGCGGGAGGTGACTGTCACAGCGTGGGTGTGCATAGCATTCAGCAGGTCCCGGTATCTCCCATCTATACCCACACCGCCTTGCAGAAATCTATAAACAGCAATGAGATCTGCTACGCTCCACTGGGAAGGCTCCTGCTTCTGGATTTGCTCCATCACCTGCTCCAGCATCACACATCGAGGACCCTCCATAGCCAGCATCGCCTGGCCCAGGGTGCACAGCTGCCCAACGCTCATGTTCCCTCTATCTAGCCTCTCCTGGCTCTCAGACGCCAGCCGCACCATCAGCGTGCTCCAAGGATCCAAGAAGAGGCGCGTACAAGCCAGCAGAGCTGATACGAGCCCAGCATCCGTCAGCCGCCTAGAGTCCTGCTCCAGCTGGAAGCACAGAGATCTGATGGTGTCCTTCTCCAGCACTGTAGGATCCTTCAGAGAGTTACCCTCCCGCTCCAGGTCGGCCACACGGTGAAGTGCTGCTGCAGCCATGGTGTCAGACATGATCTCCACTGAGCGCAGCAGTGTAAAGACCTGCCTGGATGAGGAGCAGCTCCCTATACGCTGCTGGAAAGCCTGCTCTTCTGCAGCTGTGGGCCGGTGCAGCTGGGTCAGACGGAACCGAGGGCCTGAATCTCTGTGGAGCCGTACAGAGCTGCTAGCGACGAAGGACGGCTCCCTGACGATGGTGGTCAGGCTCCTCATCCCGCAGTCCGGCC